GGTTGAGGAGGAGGTGGAGGTGGAGGAGGTGATGGTGGAGGTGGTGGTGGTGGTGGCGGAGGATGAGGAGAATGAGGAGGAGGATGTGGTGGTTGTGGTGATGGTGGTGGCGGTGATTTTGGAGGTAGTGAATATGGTGGTGCAAGTGGTGGAGTTGGATGTGGAAGTGGAGGTGGTGTCATTTTTTAAAATGAATGATGATATTTTGGGAATTAAAAAAATTTATTAAATGTTCATCTCTACTTCTTTTGAAAGCAGCTTTGAAAAGCAACACAGAGTCTGCTTTTAAAAGCTACTGTCAAAAGGCCACTGCTTTTAAAATAATCAGGATATTTTATTTTTACCAAACACCTTAAACTGCTTAACTTTAAAGTTAAGCAGATTTTTGGCCAAAAAAAGCAATCCCAAACGGGGCCTTACACATGAAAAAACCAGAAGTCACATTGATTGTTTTCAAACCAGGCTCAAAGCAGTACTTCAAAAGCAGCCAAGGAACTTCTTTGGAATACTTCCAGTTGCACGGTGTTTAGCAGCGGTCTCATCCGCCTTGAGGAATTCTTCCCCGCGATTGGCTATAGCCAAAGCCCTCTTTTCATCTGCTTGTTTGTGAAGAAGAGCAACTTGGTTTTTCATTTTTTCTGCATATTGTGTCTTTTTCTTCTCCAATTTTTCCTGATAACCAATGAAACTGTTAAATGTGAATATAAATTGAAAGAAAAACTGACAAAGGCAAGCAGATAGAAAATTTGCAGGGGAACAACTCATTCGGAGAATTTGCTCTAAAAGCTCTGCGGTGTCGGTGCCATTCATAGCCTTCTTTTATTAAGATTCAGTTCCGCTTCTTGCTCTTACCCATCTTCCTCTACAAAAAAAAATTTAAAAAAAAATCAAAAAAACAAGGCCAGTCGCCATAACACACCAAACTCAAATCAATTTCAAAACCTAATTTGTACTTGGTCAATTTATTGATCAAATTCTAATTTGAATTCAAACCCTAAGGTTGCATAACACTAAAAAGCCCCAATTTCAAGCTTCGCTTGATCAAAGGAGGAGCTTTATGTGGCTTCGCTTGATCGGAACAAGACATTTTCTTCTTGTTTAGGTCACGAATAAGACGACCGTCCAATCCGAGGGTGGCTTATGGCAGAGTCCGTAGACTCCGAAGTTTTGATTTTTGGTGTGAACAAAAGAACCGAAACGGTTTTGTTTTCTGCTTGGGTGGGGGAAGAAATCTGGGGGGGGAAGAAATTGGGAGGAACAAGGAAGAAATCGGGAGAGAGAGAATATGGGTAGGGTTTTTTATTTATTTTATTTATTATTATTATAAATTTTTAATTTAATATGTTTATTTTTTAAAATAATTTAAAAAGTAAATTTTTTTTATTAATTTTTTTGTCCACATGGAAAGCCACGTTAATTTAAAAATGGGTCTTACAAATGCCACGTAGGCAGATAACGGATTTCTGACGATCTCACTAAAAGAGGGGCAAATTGTAGGTTTTCCGCGATGTTGAGTATGTACTCGTAAATGTCCCCAAAATCGGGTATGAACTCGTAAATGACCCTATAGATTGGGGGATTTACTGTAGTTTACCCTAAGTTGTTTTATTAGACCAGTTGGTATGGGCGTTGACTTCGTTTCCTTTCTACTCAAGTTTTTTTAATTTATTATTATTATTATTATTATTATTGTTTTATATAAATTAAACAGCGATATTCATTAAAAAAAATACTTCAAGAATACATCGAAGATGTATAGACACGAATCTCAAACAAGACCACAAAAGCAATAATTGAAAAGAGAAAAACCTTTTATCCATATAGATTTGATTGATTTAAAGTTTTTTTTTTCGTGAAATAAGGGAGAAACCCCCAGAAAATAACAACTAAACACTGCGCATTAGTCTAAGCCTAGCAAGACCAAGCAAGTCATCCACCAATAGAGAGCTAACCCAGACAGGAGTCTCGTCAAATAAACAAATTCCCAAGTTCAGATTATAACTCTAATTTGCCAAACAATCCGCAATACA